TGACTGGGGTAATCAGGATGGGTGTGTCAGAGGCAATGAGATTGGCACAGGATAGAGCAGGGTTTAGGGCTGTTGTACACAGGGTTGCTATGAGTCGCAAACGACTCGACGGCACATAACAACAACAACAACAACAACATTATACCTTCACAACTAAAGATAACTCTATGTTCTCAAATGGTTGATCATCAGAACTACATGAGGAGTTCTGAGAAATATAGATTTCCTGGCTCCACCTGTACATTAGAAAACTTTCTAGGAGATTCTGATTTATACTTGAGACTACCAATCACGACTGCAGAGCTGGTCAGCTGTGCAGCTGCTGGAACAGTCATTCCCAAGGTCCTGGTAAATGGATCACCGGTAACCTGAGTATGTTGGCAGCAGCCGCAGCACTCCAGAGTTTTCAAGGACTTAGATGAAGACAAATTAATTGAGCTGATAAAATTCATAGGCATAAAACTGGAAGAGATAAAACATATTTTGGATAATGGAACTCCAAAGGATCATGGTATACTGGAAACAACAATGAGATAAAATCTCATCCCGTGTTATTATCTGCCTCTGAAAACTCTCCAGATGGTCAGCTATGGGTTGGTTCTAACTCAACGGTACACAACAACAATAAATGTAAAGTTGGCATTGAGGTTATACATCATTAACTGCAAGATGTCTTAGACTTATAATAATATTAGAGCATATGAAAATTACAGAGGTTTATAGTTGACCTCAAGCTCAAAATGAGCCAAGAAACTATCTAATCAACATGGCAGATAGAGTTAACATGAAAAATTGGCTCTAAGGACATGGACATGCTAGCAAGTTCCCAGGGCTACAAAGAAATATCTTTATGCCCAAGAACAACCAGTGGAAATTGAGCCTTAGAATCCACAAGGGTTCATTGTGGAAACTGGGTGGGTCTCTGCTACAGGGCCTGCATACAGATGAAGACAGGACCTTGGACAGGGCTTGACAGTGAATGTCTTATAGAAAACGGGCAGTTTCAGAGGATATTCCATATATAAAAGAGGTTCGCAGAAAAATGCTGTCCTGGAGACATCTTCCACTGACTGCTGTGTGTCAGTGGAGAAGGAGCAACTTGTTATAACTAAAAAAAGGGTTACCTAAAAGGTATATCCAACTATGAAGTTTAAATTCATTTTCTGCATACAACATGGAAAAGTCAAGCTATTAACAGATCTCTTTCTTTAGAACAATGAACCTGAGAGGTTAAGACAAAAACAAATTAAAAAAGATTTTCAGACAGCACGGCTGTATGGTATACAGGGTGAGTGCACACATACGTGTACTTGGGTGTGTTAAGGGAAACTTTCTATAAGCCCTGGGGTGTCTTTCTAGAAGCCCTGGCCTGTGTGGTAAGCACAAATATGAGTGTGTTTGGATCTGTTTAGGGAGCTTTTTGGTTCCAAAAAGATCCAGACTACCTTAAATACCAAAAATCTGAAGGCAACAGCTGAAAGAAGGTGGGTCTACCCAATTTGAGGAACACGAGGACTTACTTGTAGTTGTCATCCTCCACAAACTTCTGGAGCTCTTCAATGTAGCGTACAGACTTTAGGTACTTCTGCACATGGGGCAGGGTTGTGAGGTGATCTGTGAAAGATGAACAAAACCCAAAACTTCAATCTTGCCTCATCTTTAGGCCACAAAAGACAAGTATAAAAATCATTGATTTTACCACGAAATGCTTCCTGGATATTGAGACATGTGTTCACTCTTTCAGTCGTCATAGATGATCCACTGGGTGAGGCCATGCACAGATCATGTGGTACATAAGCATGATCAGACCCTAGTTCTGCCCTTGAGGAATAGCCCCCAGACTTTTGGGCTATAGATACCATACTTCCAGGTTCCTTGAGTAGGAAGGAAGGAGGAGGTGAAGTCTCTACTCAGGGGAAAGGCCAGAAAAGAGATCTGGTCTCCAGAGGAGATTTCACATTGCTCTCTTCATTGCTGGCATTCTCTGAATGGCATCTGTTCAGTCAGGCTCACTCCTAGAGAATTTGGGCACTTGGCTCATAATCGATTTCCACACCCTAAAGTCCACCCTTACATTAAAGGAAACCAGTGTTCACATGGATGGTCCTTCTAGCATTCACACTGCTCAGCTCCCTGAGCTCATCTCCAACAACGTTCTCTACCCATCTTAGATTCTCAAGGGGTCTTTGTGGGCATACTTTGAAGCTGAGTTATTCACCATCGATTTTTTTCTCTCTAGGCATATAGTTAGATTATATTTCATAGTTTCCCTATGTAAAAGTGATGTTTGTCACCTGCAAGTCTGTTTCCAAGAACCCACCCATGTATGATGAGTCTCTCTCTCTCTTCCTGCATCTTCCTGAATGCAAAGAGTCCAGTGATGACTGAAGTTATGAAGGACCACAATATAGAAAGGGCTTGGTCCTGGAATCTACTTGAAGGAAAGTTTCCCAAAGAGTATCTCAAATGGAGCTATTGTGTGAGCAAACATTAAACTCTTGTGCTAATGAGGAATAAGCTCATACTAACATTAAGACCCATTTTGGCATTGCTTGTTATGGCAGTTAGTTAATCCTGATTAATACAAATGGCAATTGCTCTATCTTTAAAACCACCAATAAATGAGTCTACTCATTGACCAAAGTTTCTTCTTCTTCCACTACTCCCAAGAATTGTTCTCAGAAAATTATCTGCAGAAAACTCAAGTAAGATTCACACCTCACTTCATACACAAAAAACCAATTCAAAGTGGATTATGGACCTAGGACTAAAACCAAGAACTATAAACTTCATTAAAGAAAAGCTTGGAAGAACTGTCGAAGTCCTAATCCACATCATAAACAGCTTCCAAGCATCCTGGGAAATCTACAACCAGGAGGAGATAAAATAGATGAATGGGACCTTCTAAGAATCAAATCCCTATGCACATCCAAAAACTGCTCCAACAGGGTAAAAAGGGGAAGCCACAGACTGGGAAAAAATATTTGGTAATGACATGTCAGACAAGGAACTTATAACTAGAACTTATAAAATACTCGAGCACCACAACAAGATAAAGGTAAATAACCCAATTGAAAAATGTGCACAGGATATGAAAAGACACTTCAGCAAAGAAGGCAGTCACATGGCAAACAAACATATAAAGAAATGTTCAAAATTCCTAACTCTAAGAGAGATGCAAATCAAAACAACTATGAGATATCATCTCACCCCAGTAAGAATAGCAAAACATCAAACATCAAATGCTGGTGAGGTTGTGGAGAAATTGGAACCCTTATTCACTGTTGGTGGGAGTGTAAAATAGTGCAACCACTATGGAAGGCTGTATGGTGCTTTCTCAAAAAGTTGCAAATAGAAATACCATTTGACCCAGCAATTCCACTATTGGGAATTTACCCTCAAGAAACCATAACCACCACCCAAGCAGATATATGCACACCCATGTTATTGTGGCTTTGTTCTCAATAGAAAAGAGCTGGAAACAACCCAAGTTCCCATCAACAAATGAATAGATAGAGAAGCTCTGGTATATTCACACAATGGAATACTACGTAGCACTGAAAAACAAGGAACTCATGAAATATTATTCAAAATGGATGACCCTGGAGGACATTATGCTGAGTGAAATATGTTAGTCACAAAAGGACAAATATTGCATAGGCCTACTGTTGTAAAATGGGACTGACATGGGGGTTGAGGGAAGACAGAGAAGGAGGGGTGGAATGATGTATACTGCATTGAAACAGATGAGGGAGGGAACTGTCTAAAAGGGATATACAATTGGGTATTATTGTTATGACAGGAGTCCTGAATAAGGCTGCACAGTGGAGTGAACCTGGGGGGAGGGATTGCATAACAATGAAAGTTTTACTTTTCAAGGAGAAGAGTGAATTAGGGGAGTGGGCAGGTAAAAAAGTTCAACAATGAATGATTAGAAACCTTGAGTCTATGTAAACTTTCATTAAAATTACTAAAGAAAAGAACTGTTCTCAGATCTTATGGGAACTCTAGGTCACTGTCATCTCTGCTGTCTCCTTTATTTATCACCTTCTTCTTTCTTTAGTTTGCACTTTATACCTCTTCATGTCCATTGACCATTGTTTCAATAACTTTTGCCAATAGTCTAAATTCCCTTTGTCTTCCCTCTTTCTGTCCTGTCATTTTAAAAAATCATTATATTGGATGAGTCAACTCTCTTCTATGACTGTACCTGAGCAACTGGGACCTGCTGGAAATAAACTGGTCCCAAATCCAATCCCAGGATCCATTCATTGCCCCATTGCATTTCCTGAGAAACTCTTTCCCTTGTTAGTCCCTTTGCATTCCTAAAGAAATTCTTTCCCCTGTTCTTAAACAATTATTTTAAACTGTCTCCACTACTGTTAAGCCTCCTACCTCCACTTCCCTTTTCAACCTAGCAGATTTGCTTACTTCCCAATTTTTGAGAAAATAGAAGCCATCAGATGGATATGTTTTAACTTTCCGACTCTCAGGCCCCATATCCATCCGCATTTCTGCCCCTCTTGTTAACATCATTAACTAGCCAGCCTCTCTGTTTCTACTCTGGATCCCTTCCCTCTTATTCTCAACAATCTTAGATAATTTATTATCTTTAACCTCTCTCTTCTTTTACATTATTCCTATTAACTAGAAAAATATCACTGCTTTCTTAAAAAAATCCAAAACACTAAACCACACAAAACAACATCTCTTTTCTTGATTTTGTATTTCCTCCGCTTCTCTTTTTTCCCCTTCATTTAGTTCTCCTAGGATTGTAGCCTCCAGAAAAGTCACTGTTCTTTTCTCTCATATATAGCGATAACTTACTATCTGTTCTCCCTGCTACCATCCGTGATGCTCCTTCTAATGGACTCTGTATCCCACAGAAAGAGTATCAGTCCAGAATTCAGATCTATCATTTCACACCTAACTTAAGACACCTTAATGACTTCCTCTTGCTCTTAGGATAAAAATCTAGATCTATACCTTTGCCAGGAAAGCCCTACTCAGCCTTGCTGGTCCCCTTTGCTGTCTCTACTCCAGCTAAGCAGTCTTCTTTCAATCCCTGACAGTCTGTTCTCCCTCCCACCAAAAGTCTTTTGCATGAGATATTTATACCCTTAGAGAGGGTACTCTCCTGCCTCTTTTTCTTGGTTAACCCTATCTTGATTTTTTCACTTGGTCAAGTCATCCTTTTAAGCCATTATAGTACAAAATCATCTACATATCACATATTGTTAATGAGTCTTCCTGTAATTATGATATCATATTCATCATAGAGCCCAGCTGTTTTATTTTTTGCTCAGCATACAGATTTAATAAGTACGGTGAGAGGATGCAACCCTGATGCACATCTATCTTGGAAGAATAATAGCCACAATGTTCTTTAGAAGGTAGGATGGTGAGATTTCATTTTATGTACTTTGGACATGTTATCAGGAGGGGCCAGTCCCTGAAGAAGGACATCATACCTGGTAAAGCAGAGTCTGTGAAAAAGATGAAGACTTTCAATGAAAAATGACTTAGTGGCAGCAACATTGAGTTCCAATACAGCAACAACTTTGAGGATGGCACAGGAGCTGGCAGAGCTGTTTTCTGTTGTACACATGGTTACTCTGAATCAGAACCTACTTGATTACCCCTAACACCACCACAACCACAACCACAACCACAAAGTGCTTCTAGTTTGATATAATGTATAATACAGAATGTACAAACACAGTAACACTCTTGGCACCAGCAGTTAGGACATCAAAAGACAAATTTCATTAGGGAAATCACTGTCAGAGTCCTCTCGAAAATGCTAAAGAGCAACAAGTCAGTCTAGAGTCTAAGGTGCACCTCATTCAGGCCACAGCTTCGCGATTAGTTTCTATGAATCAGAGAACTGGACAGTGACTAAGGATGATAGAAGATGAATCTGATGCCTTTAAGTTGTGGTGCCGGAGAAGAGTACGGACTGTCAAGAGAATAAACAAGTCTGTCCTGAGGAAGGTGAAACCAAGGAAGCAAGGTGAAACCTTGGAAGCAGGGATTGTGAAGTTCTATTGCACATACTTTGGGCATGTGGCCAGGAGGATCATTCCTTGGAGAAGATCATCATGCTTAGAAGGGTAGAGGGACAGCCCTAAGGAGGAAGATCCTGGGTGAGATGGAATGACGTAGTAACTAGGGTTATTGGGGTAGATGTGTCAGAGACAGTGAGACTGGCTCAGGGTAGGGCAGGGTTGAGAGCTATTGTACAAAATGTTGCAATGAGTTGCAGCTGACCTGATGGCACTTAACAACAACAACAATAACAGAATGCTAAAATTATTTGTGTTATTATTTAAAGAGCTCTGGTGGTAGAGTGGGTTAAACATTGCATATCTAATCAAAAGGCCAACAACTGAATTCACCAGATGTTTCTTGGGAGAAAGATGAGACAGTTTGATCCTCAGTGGGATTGCAAGTAGCTTCACGGTAGGGAGCTGTGCTGCCAACCCTAAGAAATTTGATTTTTAATATATCAGCTGCTCCATGGGAGAAGGATGGGCAATCTCTTCCTGTGTCATTAACTGCCTCTAAATAACCCACTGGAGAGTCAGATCCAAACAGCTGGCACACAACAGCAA